TTTTCTTTTGTGAATATTCGGTTTCGGACTGTGTTTCGGCACTTCATCTATATCGAACCATTGTGCCGAACGTTTGCAATTGTCGAAAAGAATCAATTTTTCATCACACGTAATAATACGATGTAAAATGGTTCGCCTTTATATCGTGATAGTAAAGAAAGGCAAGCTTCGAGACGATTTCTCTTCTGACGCTTATTTAATTCATGCGGAACCCATCTATCCAGCTTATTTACCTTGCCGATTTGTTTCAAGTGATCCAATATCGTTGGAATAGTAACGTTAAACCTTGCTGCTAATTCACGCGTAGTTTGAGATATATCCGCTTCCACTACAGCTTTCAGTTCATCATTATTCACCTTGGTCTCGAGTCGCCCACATGGCTCATTTTCAACATTAAAATCGCCAGAACGAAACTTCTCAAACCATCGATGTACTGTGCGTTTATTAGCCACATCTTCACCAAACACTTCGTTGATATTTCGAGTTGTCTGCGCTACATTGGTTCTACAACGGAACTCATATTTGAAAATAACACGAATTTTTAACTTATCCATGGTTACACAAAAGATTGCTGTAACAAGACATTCGAAGGGTAATCATAAAATAAAACATGCGTTGAAAGAATGATGATGTACCCCTTCCACAAGAGATAAAAAAACCAAGAAAATGTAAAAAGATGAAAGTGTCAGAGATATCGACTGTCGACACTTACAAGGAAATTACATGGAAAACCGTTCTCTCTCCAATTCGCAGATGACTTGAAAATTTTGAATGTAGACTAAAGTAAGGACCACGTATTTTTTTATACGTGCCCAATCGCATATTTAGGAGTGCAACACCCCTTTGAAGGAAAATTGGTTTTTCTCTTTTCTCTTTCGGAGCATGCACCGTCAAAAGTATAAGAGGTAAAAAAACTCTTTTAATAAAAACTGAATTGTTTAAAGAGTACTTTATAATGATGTTTTCCGTTTAAAAAAAATGCTAAAATGTTAAACATATTCCCACCACTCACCAATTTTTTTATAATTGAAAAATTTCATTTCCATAAAATGAAAGGATGTTTTATTCCGAATTCATCCATATATGATAAAGCCATTTTCTGACATATGGACTTTTCAAAAAATACTTGGGAACACGTCTATATACCCGTAACGCCATATGTAGCCGCCTGATCCACGCGATACATGTACGCAACACATCTCTTCGTATTTCCGCATAGTAAGAGACTCGAAGATAGTACTGATATGCAGAAGATATAATCATAAACATTTCAATATATGACAACAATAAAATTAATTATTTTATGCATAACAATAGTCATATATTCCCACACTTTGCTATCATGGAAATTATATATACGCATACCCACATACATATATAACGCATAAACATATATATTTGAAAGTAATTATTAAGCGAGGAAAAAATTATATATACGAGGGTGGTCCGATAAGTACTTAGCCTACAAAGAAAAACGAAAATTTGGGAAAAGTGGCGATTTATTTCTCAACATAGTCTCCTTTTAGCTCGATACACTTGACCCAGCGATGCTCCAACTTCTTTAATCCGTCTGAAAAATACGTTTTCTCGAGTTCTGCAAAGTAGGCCTCCGTGGCGGCGATGACCTCCTCATTCGACTCAAATTTCTGCCCGGCGAGTGACTTTTTCAAGTTGGAAACAAAAAGAAGTTACACGGGGCCAAATCTGGAGAATACGGTGGATGGGGCAGCAGTTCGTAGCCCAATTCGACCAATTTGACCGTGGCGAGGGCGGAGGTGTGAGCCGGTGCGTTGTCATGCTGGAAGAGCACTTTTTTCTTCGCCAAATGGGGCCGTTTTTTCTGCAATTCGGCGTCGAATCGGCCCAATAATTCGGCATAGTACAGCCGTTTTGCCCTTCTCCAGGTAGTCGATGTAGATCACACCTTGTGAATCCCAGAAAACGGTGGCCATCACCTTTCCAGCCGATAGGACAGTCTTCGCCTTCTTCGGAGCACGTTCACCGGGTGAAGTCCACTGTTTCGACTGTTCCTTGGTCTCTGGTGTGTACCAGTGGATCCATGTTTCGTCGACGGTCACGAAACGACGCAGAAACTCCTTCGGATTGCGCTTAAACAGCGTCAAACACTGCTCTGAAGTGGTCTCACGGTTGCGCTTGTTGTCCGGAGTGAGCAAACGCGGCACCCATCGCGCCGACAGCTTTCTCATGCTCAAAATTTCATGCAGGATATGACCCACGCGGTCTTTTGAGATGCCTACTGTCTCAGCTATCTCGCGCACCTTCAATCGGCGGTCTGCCAATACGAGATCGTGGATTTTTGTCATGTTATCCTCCGTGGTAGCCGTTTTCGGGGCACCTGGGCGTGGCTCATCAAAAACCGACGTGCGACCATGTTGAAACTCGTTAAACCAATTTTTGATGGTCGCCATCGAAGAAGAAGAGTCACCGTACACAGCATCCAAGCGCTCTTTGATTTCGCTACGCGATTTCCCTTCCAAAAACAAGAATCGAATCACCGACCGATATTGCTCTTTTTCCATTTTTCTAAAATCCGCGGACACGCCCGCTTCCACACACGGTCAAAACAAAACTACGAGTCCGATTCGGCTGAAATTTCGACAGTAGCCGTCTACGAGAATGTATTACACGATAGTAAATTTCTCTTGCGATAGTGGCGCCATCGGGCGGTGAGGCTAAGTACATATCGGACCGCCCTCGTATATATATATAAATAATTAATTACAATGTATAATTAAAAGAATTACATTATTAAAAAAAGTATAATTAAAGAACTATTATAATAGATTTTCACATCAGCCATGAGGTACTATTGCTGATGCGTTTTTTGTAAGTGGTTTCCCCAGTAGACCTATTCCACTAAATAATGAAAACAAAATACGATGAAATGTGTGGCTCGGCAGGAAAACTAGATGAAAGGAGGTAAACGATCATTTGGTAAAAAATAAACTAGAATGTCTTGGGTCGTTTAGACTCTACTATGGATGATATATCCACAGGCATTTTAAAAGAACTAGCTCGCATCAACCAAGAAAGTGATGTATCATTTAGAGAAGAACGTTTATCCGTTTTTGTCAAATTCATTCTTGAGAAGAAACATTCGCATAAATATGTGGACCCAAACATAGAGAAAATTCGGAGACCAAAATCTCTAAGACGTGGATAAGATGAAGAATCTAAATTTTGAAATCTCGGTCTCCTTTTCCAATCGGGATTTCAAAGAAATATCGCATTGCAAATCGCACAATTCTTCCTGAAGAAATAGGCTTTGTTCCTCGATTTGCGCGGTAAGAGGATTGCTAAAGAGGATTAAATCTTGTCTTAAACTTTCAAAGTCAGAAAAACGCCTATCAAATTAATCAATTAAAGATTGAATAATATTCAGTTGCTTTGGAAAATTACAATTTGTGCTGTGTTCTTCAAAGAGAATTTGGCAGGAAGGGAAAAAGTGAAGAACATTACCTTGCAACTGATTTTTAAGAAGCAGCAATTTTCTGCGGAAAGCATCAATACAACTAATTGCGTAAATTGTTTGATTGGACTTTTGCAGCTTTAAATTTAGAATATTTAAATGATTTGTTAGATTAGTTATTAAAACAAGCGAGTCTAAATCTTCGAAGAAAAATCGAAATTCGTCCAATTTTATGGGATATCCGTCTTACAAAAAGAGGAATATCTCCTTTCTTATTGCGAAGAATTTTTCAAGACATTTTCCTGCACTGAGCCATCGCACTTCACAATATAAAGGAACATATGTGTAGCTTGCGTTATGCTCTTCGAGAAAGTGTTGGAATTTACGATGAGAAAGAAATTTTTGAAAGTTACAGCAACTTGTCACGCGCAACGAGGACGGGGAGGGTGCAAGAGGGGGACCGAAGGACTCCCTTGCATCCCCCCCCGTGTGTGTGTGTGTGTATGTGTGTATACATATGTTTGGTACTATATGTATACATATGTATACATATGTTTGAGACATTTTCATATATTAACATATGAATTTTAGCTCATGCATCAGTGGTTATTTTTATGTAATAACTACTTATACATGAGCTAAAAATTCATATGTTTAATATATGAAAATACTTTGGGGAGAGGGCTTCGCCCCTCCCCCGCTTACATGTACTATTTTACATTTTCCGACTAAAAAGAACATAAGTCTTTGTATTACCGACATGACAGATTTCCGAACCTCGCATGTGTCATTTTTTAATAATTTATTTCTCGCAAACTAGAGCCGAGCGACGATTTTTACTTGCAGATTCGGTTTCTATACGTCAAAATACATAAGATAGGTGAGTTTGAGCGAAATCCAAGGTGAGACCCGTCTTCTAAATAACTACCAATCATTGATTTGTTTTTGTTAGCACCGACTTATGTAAAACTCATTCTGATTAAAAAATCTGATCAAAAGGTCAAATGTAAAGGCCATCACACGTAGAAAAATTTTAACCGTAACCGTAAGGTTGTAAGAAAATTGTCCAATCACAAGAGAAAGGATCGACTGTGATTGGTCAATTTTCTTACGGAATTACAGTAACGGTTAAAACTTTTCTACGTGTAAAGGCCGTAAACGTGGTCTACAATGACAGTAAGCAGTAAGAAGTAAGCATAAGCGGTTAAAAATAAACCAATCACAGTCGATTATGACAAAAATGATCAACTGTAGTAGGTCCATTTCTTATTGTTTACGCTTACTTCTTATTGCTTACTGCCGTTGTAGACGACGCTTAAAGAGTAGTCTACAATGGACGTAAGCAGTACTCCCCCATGGACGCCACCTTGCCGTGGTGGAGGAGTTTGCGTGTCCCGATGACGTACAGGGCTGTACCGGCTGGGGTTTCGAGCCCTGGCAGGTTCTACCATGCCGGGGTGGCCTGTACGGAGGGACCAGACTAAGATTGTCCATAATACTCCTGGATGAGCAGCTGCCTCCAAGTTTTACCCAGGGACTGGAGGACCGTACTTGTACCAAAGGTCCCTACAGCGCAGACAGAGCGGGCTCGTTAGCCTGGTGAAGGCAGCCGATCTAGGGGAAGGAAAACCCCGAAATTAAACCCGTATATGTGGAACACGTATAATCCCACACTTTGCCAGAGGCTAGAGTGTTTTGTCACTCTGGTACGGGGGATCCAGGCGAACCCCGGCAGAACCTAGCCTATTATACCATAACCCTAGGTCCTGTCTCTGGCGCCGGGGGTCTTGCAATAATTGGCCGGACTGCGAGGCGGGTCCTCCATAAAATACCACGTAATCCTACGGTTGAGGTATGCCATGCTTATGGGATGAATGGCAGGTGCGTGACCTGTCGCTAGTGGTTCCTCACCCGTGGTACCTGGCGCACCACGGGGACATGTCAGCCTAACCCCGGGTAATGCGGGGCTCTACCCGGGGTCGACGCCCATTTCCTGCCGCACTCGTGGGACTCAGAATGAAACCTCGGTTAAATAAAAAAACAAACCCAGAGCTTTCAGGCTCAGAATCTCAGAACTCATGGTCCCGTATGAACGGGCGTGACATCCCGTCCGAGGGCCTACCTTCTATCGCTTTGATAGGGGGTGATTTTTCGGACGTTTCAGTGAGGAAAGAAGAGGTGGTAGAGGTTCGCATGGCAGGAGCCTCCTCCTCTCCCCCCGAGGAGGGTAAGGCTGTGGACCTCGGAGGGCTAGCTTCCGAAGTGCCACATGAGGACCGACCACCGCCTTCGCCGGCGCAAGGCGTGAGCTGTAGCTGGTATCTCCCCCCGACCGCGGGGGTAGAAAGGTGAGCCTGACAGCTAGGAATCAGGCGGCCACCCAACGTGGGACCGAGAAGTCTCTGGGGTCCGGGACTCGCATCCCGGTACCAGGGGCCGGGCCCCAATTTTACAAAAAGTAAAGAAGGAGCCCGTCCCCACCAACACCCGGGGAACACGGGGGATGACCCTACCAAAAGAACAGGAGAGGGAAGAACAGAAGGAGCTAGGGAGGGGAAAGGGAGAGGCGGAAGCGTCGGGTCGGAGGTCCGGTTATCCGGTCTGACGTGGTTTTCTCTCAAGGCTCCAGGATCCCGATCCCTGCCCTAAGCAAGATTGCCAAGGCCCCGACGTTAGGAACCAAGCAGGCCGGGCCGTCCAAGGCGGCCAGCGATATAAGTGGGACAACTGGAGCTTCGTCCTTGGGGACAACCAAGGCGGTCGTTAGGGTCACCAGAGCCTCAACGCTGAGGACTGCCCAGTCTGCAGCATCGAAGGCGTCTGGCGGCCTTGGTGGGACCATTCAGGCATCAGAGACGAGAAGGACGGATCTTGATGCTGCGGAAGGAGCAACCGCCGGTACCAGCGGTGTGAGGAAGAGCACGAGGATCGACACCAGCGGATCATCGTTGACGGAGGTACCTTCCCTGATACCTGTACCCAAGAAACGTGGTAGACCCGCCACGACATTCAAGGGTACAGGTATCAGGGAAAGGAAGAAGAAAGAGGCTGTGACCAAAAAGGAGTTGGACTCGGAGAGACTGAAGAGGGAGGCTTGGAACCTCCTCGGCAGGGGCCTGTACCGCTCTATGGATGATACTCGCCCGGCTGAGGAGGTCTGTCGGAACCCCTCTACCAGGAAACTCCTTAGGGGGGCAAGGGCTTCCGAGCTGACCTCGGAGGTGGGCCGCGCACTCGGCGCGGTGAAACTAGTGGCACGGCGTTCCAAAACATAAAAGGAACGTTTGTGTCGCTGTTGAACCGCGCCGTGGCCACCTCCGAGGCCGTTATGGCTACATTAATAGCCAGGACAGCAGAACAGGACGGGAGGGAGGATGCAACCTCCTATATTAGGAGGGAAATGGAAGGCCTCAGGGAGGACAACAGGAGGCTGATGGTGGAGACGGCGCGGCTGGCTGAGGAGTTGAAAGCCATGAAAGCTGCTGCCGCCTTAGTCTCCGACCCCCTCGAGTTCCCGCCGTTACCATGTTCCAGGAGGAGGAGGACGTACGCGGAGGCGTCGAGTGGGTCCACGTCCACGGAGGAGGAACTAAGGGACGCGAAGACCCTGGAAAGAAAGAGGAAGAAAAAAGAAGGACGAAGACTCATCCCTCGTTCTCTTCTCCTAAGAAGGAAGAAAGGAAGGTAGGGAGGGGGGTTTCGTCCGAGGAGGTGCAGTCGTTCAACGACAACCTCCCGGAGGAGGCCCCCACCCCAGTGCAAAGCCTTGGACGCCGCCTTGGCCAATCTGGGCCCTTCTCTCGGCATCCTGGCTGAGCTTGATCGCTTGAGGGCGGTGGTGGCTCGTCAGGATGTGGAGAGAAGGGGCAGCCGGATGTCCGAAGGGGTAGGGTCCCCAACACCAGCTCCGGTCCGGAAAGAGAGGGGAAAGTCCACTCCAGGGGGGGGACACCGGCTCCGCCACCACCAGCAAAACCGGCAGACGCCCCGAAGGGAGAAGCGAAAAAGGGCAAGGCCAAGAGAAAGAAGAAGAAGAAGGAGGAAAAGAGAAGAAGAAAGGAGGAGCAGGAACGAGCCCAGACAGGTGGAGGGGCGGGCTGGCTCCTGGTCCACAAATCGGAAAGGAGAAGGAGCCGAAGATGGGGATTTCGGCGAAGAACCTAGAGGACTGGGGCTGGGATCCCTTGGAAAGAGGCCTTTGGCAGGCGCTTAGACCCGCAGGAGGATAACAACCGCCACAGGAGACATGGGCGCAGGTTACCTGGCGGGGGAAGCAGAGGACACAGGGGGAGGAAAAGAATAACGGGGGAACCTCTAACTCTTCCAAAGGATTACCTGGGAGGGGGAATGCCGGACGGGCAAGCCGAAGCCGCCGCGCTCGGCAGCCGTCAAAATCACGCGCCCCAGCAATAAATACCATAACTTTATGGTGGAGGCCAGGCGCCGCGTCAAGCCGGTGGACTTGGGGATTAACGTTCCCCTGAGAGTCCGCCAAGCCCTTAACGGGACTATGCTTTTCGAGGTGCCTGGTCTCAAGGCGGGGTCGTCCGCCGACCGGCTTGCTGAGGAGCTCCGCAAGCTAGCGGCGGAAAAAGGCCCCGTTTTCGTGTCCAAAGGCAGGAGAAACTCGTAGCTTTACGAATCTCCGGGCTGGACGTGACAACCAGGGCCGATGAGGTGGCGGCCCCCGTGGCCCTCTCTGGGGGATGCACTCCCGAGGAAGTTTCCACGAGAGGTATGAGCGTCTCCCAAAGGGGCGTCGGCGCGGTTGTGATGCGGTGTCCGTTAGCGGCGGCTGCAAAAGTCGCCGCTGCGGAGCGGGTCCCGGTGGAGTGGACCCGTGCCGGGGTGACGGCGCTGTCCGCTCGCGTAACTTTGTGCTACCGCTATTTGGAGCGGGGGTACGTGCGCGAGCGGTGCACTAGTGCCGTCGATCGAAGCGGTCTTTGCTACCGCTGCGGTAACTCCGGCCACCGCGCCAAGGGGTGCCAGGCGGCGGTACGTTGCCCCGTTTGCGCCGAGGAAGGCAGGCCCGCCGGTCACAAGATCGGAGGGGCTGTCCCTTCCAGAAAAAAAAGGAAGGGGAAGAGAAAAGTGAAGGGAGAGGAGCAGACTGGGAAGAGAGGAGCCGAAGCGTAGGAGGCCCGAACCTCCGTGGTGGCACCACTGGACCGGGTGCTGCAGGAGGAAGGTGCAGACGTGAGCACCTCCCCAACGAGGGACTTGGTGACGGAGCCTGCTCACTTGCCAACAAGGGACTACATGGACGAGGAGGTTGCCTCAGCAGTCCTCCTCTCACAAGAGTGGAGAGAGAAGCATGAGTGGAGCTCACCCTCCCGCCCCGCCCCGCCAGAGGATGAACCGATAGAAGTGACGACCCTGCTTCAAAGGAAGAGGAGGGGGACGGAGAACCCGGAGCCGAGGAAGATTATAGACCAGTCCGAAGAGGAGCCGGATCTCAGGAAGGTGAGGAGGGTGGATCCAGTAGGGACACCTCCAACAACTGTAGAAACAGGGGAGTCGGTGGGAGTGCCACCCCCGACTCCCCAAGATAACAAACCCTCGCCATACTCCCGAGGGGAGGGTGACATTGAGGTAGGAACCCCCCTGACTCCGCGTCAACGAAGGTACCCGTGTCTAGGGCCACCATGGCCGGGGCCCCCTCAGGGGAGACCGAAGCGGCTCCGCCGCCAGAGATCTCCCAAGAGGGGGTGGTTGTAGGTAGCCCGGGGGAGGCGGATAAGGCTTAGCCTTCACGCTTCTCCGGGTCCTACAGGCCAACCTCGGCCACGGCGCCCAGACTCAGGTCCTACAGGTTGCACAGGATCCTAGAGCTGGGCGCCGGGCTGGGGGTGGCTGCCGAGCCGTACCGGGTGCCAGTGAGCAGCGCTAGCTGTTTCGGCAGCCGGGACGACTCGGTGGCCTTGATGGCGAACCCCACAGCGGGGACCCCTCCCTGTGAATTAAGGGAAAGGGGATCTTCGTTCGTGGCAGTCGACTGTGGGCCCGTTACGGTGGTGGGAGTGTACCTCCATCACCATAGAAACAAAGTCGGTCTCGGAGATCTCGCCCGTATAAAGGGGGTCCTCGACGGGATCGGGAATGTGGTGCGTAGGTGCCACTGCCGACCCGTCGTCATTGCCGGGGACTTTAATGCCTACTCGGAAGGGTGGAGCTGCAGTCCCCGGCAGCGGGACCCTCGGGGCGAGGTCGTAATCGACTGTGCAGCGGGGTTGAGCCTCTTGTTAATAAACAAGGGGTCGGCCAGCACCTGTGTGCGGCCGGGGGGGGAGTCGGTCATCGACTTGACCTAGGCTACCCCTCGGCCGCCTGGTTATTCCAGGAGTGGAAGGTGGAGGTGGAGGGCGAAACACTATCACACCATCGGTACATGGTGTGGGCCCTCCGCCTCCCTAAACCTCCACGGGTGCGGGACCCTCGCTGCCCCGGGGAGGGGGTTTCCCCTCCCCAGAAGGTGGACACTCAGTCGACTGGACGCGGATAGGTTTCGGGCGTCCGTCCTCGTGGCCACCTGGCACCTTGACGAGGAGCCGGGTGAGTGGGCCCTCAGCCCCTTGAAAGGGGCTGAGGAAATCGTGGGCATTGTGGCGTCGGCGTGCGACGCCGCTATGCCCCAAGCCCACCCCCGCGCCGGGTCGCATACTCGCCGCATCGCGGAACTCCGCGACTCCACCGTACAGGACAGGCGGTGTTTCTACCGGACCCGGCGACGAGGCGGGGATGTCACGAGGGCGAAGGAGGACTTCCTGTTCGTCAGGAAAGCCCTCCGCGACGCCATCGCCGAGGCCAAGCGAGTGGCTTGGGAGCATCTGACGAGCTTCCTGGACGAGGATCCGTGGGGGCGCCCGTATAAGAGGGCGATGGGGAAGATCCGCCCTTGGGCGCCCCCACCTACGGAAACGTCAGACAGGCAGGCCCTCGAGGGGCTCCTGGACACTCTCTTTCCGAGCCCCCCCGGGTTCCCTTCCTCAGGATTGGTGGAGGGAGACTAGGACGAGGACCTGGCTGTGAGTCCAGAGGAGCTTGCCAGGGCCAGGAAGAAACTCGGTGGTAAGGGGA